TCTCTCTCTGGCAGACCCTCTCTAGCAGTTCTATTTAGAAGACTATGTGTGAGACCCAGCAGTTGGTATAATGGTTAAGGCACTTGACTTCCATATGACCGACCAAATTCAAGTTCTGGACCTGGCAGCTTGATACTCACATTGGTGCATGTGCGTGCTCGCCCAAAATCCCAGGAGAAGAATGGAGATGGGATTATGGTATGGCCCTACCCCTTAGGGGGGGTGATTTCTTGCTTTTTCATTCTGTCCTCCTATGAGTGTATGCACCCTGTAGCAAAATGCATGTGTCATTGATAGAGTTCCTGATTTCGATAACCGTATAGTGATTTTTCTGAAAGAATGTTTGTGTTCTTGAGACATGCACACTAAAGTAGGAATAAGGGCTTCATGTCTGCAGCTCCCTCTCACATACTGGGTCGTCAGAAAAGTTGTGACACATTTTTGCATAGAAAACCCGAAAAATACGTCATGACTTTTCTGACCACCCAATAGTTCAGAAAAAAATGTATGTGGGCCAGCTGGTAGCATGGAGGTTAAAAGCAGGTGGATCCTACAAGGCCTTCTAAGCAGTTCCAGTTCTAGACCCAGCGGTTCGAGAAACATGCCAGGCACGTGTGCATGCGTACCCAAAATCCTCAGAGGAGAGTGGAAGAGAAGGGGCTGCAGCATGGCCAGTCCCCCTGTGTGTGCTTTCTCTCTCTCTCTCTCTCTCTCTCTGGCAAGTACACTCTTTCTGTAGCAAACTTAAAATAATTGTGTGTGTGTAGAGAGAGACAATATAAATGATAAAGCAGATAACTAATGCATCTTGGCAAAGGGTATCAGGAGCCTAGTCTCCCAGCCTTTCTGTTGGTCGGAAATTATAGTTAAAAAGTTAGCCACCTCCCATCTCTCACAGAAGGCTTTTAAGAAGTGCTGGTGCGGGACTAGTAGATGGTACAGTGGTTACATCGCTGGACTCCAACGTGGCCAACCATGGTTCAGCTCCTGGATCTGGTGGCTTAAAACTCATGCCAGGAGCGTGAGTGTGTGCCCAACATCCTCAGAGGAGGCAAGGAGAAGGGATTGCGGCACGGCTGTCTCCCCTGGGGGGTGATTTCTCACTTTCTGTCTCTCCGTCTCTCCAGTGAGTGCACGTACCATATAGCAAAATATCTCTCCAGAAAAAAGTGCTGGTGCTATGTCAGCAAAAAAAGCTCATCTTGGGACCAGCAGCTAGCGTAATGGCTATGTCGCTGGACTCCCATGTATCGACCACAGTTCGCGTCCTGGACCCGGTGGCTTAAAACTCACACCGGGCGCGTGTGCATGCTTGCATGCCAAAGATCCCGAGAGGAGAATGGAGGGGAAGGGATTGTGGCGTGGCCATCCCCCCTGGGGGGTGATTTCTCACTTTCTGTCTCTCTGTGTCTTTCTGTCTGTCTGGCAAGTGCATGCGCCCTATAGCAAAAAAAAACTCTCCAAAAAAAAAAAAAAAAAAGCTCACCTATGCTACTTCTTTCCTTTTTTAAATAAACTTTTTTAGGACTATTTATTTAATTTTATTTATTATTATTATTATTCAGTTTTATCAGATAGAGAGGGAGAGTAAGAAAGCAAGCCGTGGGGCCAGCAGTTGTCATGGTGGTTAAGGGCACTGGACTCCTACATGGCTGACTGCAGTTTGAGTCCTGGACCTGGTGGCCTGCTTTTTCACTCTCCGCCCCCCTCTCTCTCTCTTTCACTCTGTCCCTCTCTGGTCAAATTAAGAAAACATAAATGAAAATGAATGAATGAAATTCAATAAAATAATTGTTTGGGGAGAAAAAAGTATTTTATTTAACTTTATTTTATTTATGTATTTATTTATTTTTATTTGAATCAGAGAGGGCCAGAGTGGGGGAGAGGTGAGAAAGCAAACCGCCAGGTCTGGGACTAGAACCACAGTTGGCCATGTGGGAGTCTAGCGCCCTCAACCACCACAAACCACCACACCACCTGCTGGCCGCAATGAAATTATTCTTTTTTTAAAAAAAAGGAAAGAAAGAAAGCCGCCCAGTGCGGAACTTGAACTGTGGTTGGCAGTGTGGGAATTCAACACCCCAACTATCACATCACCTTCCAGCCCTACTAGCTATGCTATTTTTAAAGAACAGATTTCTTAGGGCCAGCAGGTAGAGTTGTGGTTTGGGCACTGGACTCCCATATGGCCAATCCCAGTTCAAGTCTTAGACCTGGAGGCTTACTTTCTCTCTCTCTTTCTATCTCTCGTGAGTGCGTGTCCCCTATAACAAATTAGAAAAATTAAATAATTCCTTTAAAAAAAAAAAGTCAATTTTTTGGGGCCATTCTATGGACTAGTGGTTAAGGGAACCAGATCCCCTGTGGCTGACTCTGGCAGATTTTAAAACATGCAACTTGGGACCAGCAGATGGTATAAGGTTACGTTGCTGGACTTCCACGTTGTCGGACTCCCACGCTGTCAATCTCGGTTTGAGTCCTCAACCTGGTGGCTTCAAACTCATGCTGGGCGCATGTGTGTTTGTGCCCAAAATCCTGAGAGGAGAGAATAAAGGAGAAGGGATCGTGGTATGGCCATCCCCCATGGTCCTTCCCCCCGGGAAATGATTTCTTGCTTTCTGTGTCTCTGTTACTGTGTCTCTGGTAAGAGCATGTGCCCTAATGCAAAAGCAATATCCCCCCGCCCCCCCCAAAAAAAAGCCAGCTCATTTGTGTCTTTTCCCAAAATCCCAACAGGATGGAGAAATTGAACAGAAGATACTGCAATGTGACCACTCTGTCAAGGGTGGCCTTCTCCCTGTCCCTATCAATTTGCGGCTCTGTTTGACAGAGAGAAAGAAGTAATCGGTGTTTACAAGAGGGGTAATTTGGGCTAAGGGCGTAGATATTATAATAGATGTTGCCAAATCATTCTCCAAAGTGATCTTACCCTCACCAGTGAAGTATGAAATGCTCATTTCTTTACAGTCTTCTCAATGTTAGGTATTATTTTAATTTTTGTTCATCTGAGAGATGTAAAGAACTCCTTCAGTTAAACATTTTTTTGTACCTGTATCAACCATCTGTAATTTTTCCTCGAACAACTTTTTTTTTAGGGAGGTTTTTGCTATAGAGCAGATGTGCTTGCCAGAGAGACAGAGACAGAAAGCGAGAAATCACCCCCAAGGGGGGGTGGCCACAGGATTTGGGGCACCCATACACACACGCCCAGCATGAGTTTTAAGCCGCCGGGTCCGAACCATGGTTGACTACATGGGCGTCCAGCGACGGAACCGTTATGCTATCTGCTGGTCCCATCTTTTATTATTGCATGTCTATGTGTTTTCCTTATTAATTTGTAAGAGTTCGGTCTTATGACTCTTAACCTTTTTTTTTTTTTGGAGAGATTTTCACTGTAGGGCGCGTGCGCTCGCCCCCCCCAGGGGGGATGGTCACGCCACAATCCCTTCTCCTCCATTCTCCTCCTAGGATCTTGGGCACGCACACACATGCGCCCAGCGTGAGTTTTAAGCCACCAGGTCCGGGACGCAAACCACAGTCGACTACGTGAGAGTCCAGTGACATAGCCATTACGCTAACTGCTGGTTCCTGGTGCAAAAATTTTTGAAATGCATTTATAGTTATTCATACTATGCATTCTCTCAGGGCCGGCAGGTGGCTTGGTGGTTAAGGGTGCTGGACTCCCACATGGCTGACCACAGTTCACATCCCAGACCTGGCAGCTTCCTTTCTCTCTCTCTTTCTGTTCCTCTCTGGTTAAGTTGAATTAAGTAAATAAAATAAGGTTACGGGACCAGCAGTTAGTGTAATGGCTATGTCGCTGAACTCCCATGTAGTCAACTGTGGTTCGAGTCCTGGACCTTGTGGCTTAAACTCATGCCGGGCACGTGTGCATGCAGGCCCAGGATTGCAAGAGGAGAATGGAGAAGGGATTGTGGCGTGACCATCCCCCCTGGGGGGTGATTTCTTGCGCTCTGTCTCTCTGTCTCTGTCTTTCTGGTGAGCGCACGTGTCCTATAGCCCCCCCCCAAAAAAATCAAATAATAAATAAATAAAGTTAAATAATTATTTAAATAATAATAATATGCATTCTCTGTGACCTATTTGAAGATCTCCTTGTGTATCAGGTATGTTCATCCAAACAACACAAATCAACTCTGGCTAACTTGGGCAAAAAGGAGCTTGTTGGAAGGATGTTGAGGGCCTGTGGAGTTGGCAGGAGGCCAGAATTAGGGTCCCTCACAGCAGACAGTCCCTCTGCTATCAATAGGACACTGCTGCCCCTGGGACAGGTGACCTCTAGCTATTTATCTTGTTATTCAAGACCCAGGTATTCTAGGAAACTGATTGGCTGAGCTCAGGTCACATGTCCACAATTTGGCTATACTGGGCAAGGAGAGGGAGAGCCTACTCCCCCCTGATGTTAAGATTGACATTTGCCAAGGATTAGACTCCCACTGAGACTAAGAGGAGAAAGGGTGAAATTGCTTATAAAGGTATTAAGAATAGGGATAGTTTCCAGGCTGCATCCACACGAAAAAAAGGTTTTTTAGCAATGGTTACTTTTTTTTCTTCGGTTTTTGCCATAGGCACATGTACTCACCAGAGGGATGGACAGTGAGAAATCATCCCCATGGGGATGACCAGGCTGCAGTCCCTTCTCCATTCTCTTCTCTGGATAGTGGACATGCATGCACATGCTCCTTATGTAATTTTCAAGCCTCCAGGTCTAAGACTCAAACTATGGTCAGTCATGTGGGAATCCAGCACCTTAACCACCTTGCCACCTTCTTGCCCTACTTTTCATTTTTATTTTGAATGATTTTATGTATATTACAATCTCATTTGATCCTTACAAAACTAGGAGCTGAGAATGTTTGACTAGGGAATGAAACCTTACCTTAGTGTACCTGGTATGCTTTTGTTTTCACTAGAAGCTCAGGAGAAGCTGATTGACTTGCCCAAGGATGTTGAGTGGCGGTTCCAGGACTCGTTGCAGGCTAACCTGTAGCCTAGGGATTTCCTCCTCCTCCCCTTCCTCTTGCATTCAGTCTGTCTGACTCAGTTTGGGTTTGTTTCTCTTACAGGCTACATAAAGACAGGCTCGATCTATCTGGCCCAAACTCAGGACCGACTGATCTCCCTGAAACGCATCAACTCCAGGCTCAAGTACGTAAGAGGCTAGCAGTCTGCCCCAGCTTTATCAGAGACCTCTGTTGAAAGGCCAGTGAATTCATTGTCCCCTTGTGTTCTGTGGCAGTGTTATGGGCATCCCTTCTGAGATCATCTCCCCCAAGAAAGTGGCAGAACTTCACCCTCTCCTCAATGTGCACGACCTGGTGGGGGCCATGCATGTTCCCGAGGATGCAGTGGTGTCATCTGCGGATGTGGCTCTTGCCCTGGCAAGCGCTGCCTCCCAAAATGGTGAGCAGAGTTTTGTGTTTTCTCAAAGTGGGAAGGAAGGAGGAGGTGATCTAAGGAAGTGTCCCCCACCAAGCAAGAGCACTAACATACTCATGTTCCACTTGGAACACTGGCTCATAATATTTTTTTGTACAATGTCTATTAATAAGTATTTTTCTTCAGGGCCAATTTTTCTTATAAAATTCCAAGGAACTGCTTTTAATACTGATTAATGTGCTTAATTTGCCCACAGGGTGTGAGAAGCTCCATGGTTAGAATACACCTTGGGGGGACCAGCAGTTGGTGTAATGGCTATGTCGCTGGACTCCCACGCAGTCGACCGCGGTCTGCATCCTGGACCCGGTGGCTTAAAACTCACACCGGGCGTGTATGCGTGCATGCCTAAGATCCCAAGAGGAGAACGGAGGAGAAGGGATTGCAGCGTGGCCATCCCCTCTGGGGGGTGATTTCTCGCTTTCTGTCTCTCTGTCTCTCTGGCAAGCACATGTGCCCTATAGCAAAAACCTCTCCAAAAAAAAAGAATACACCTTGGGGATTTAATCTAACATAGTTTAAATTATGACCCAGGATTGGAATGAATGAGGCAACAACTTGCTAGTGTGTTACATACTTTGGATAAACTGATTCATGATGTCATAGATTAGGATTTAAAATACCCTTTATATTCCCATATGGCCAGACTCAGCCCCTTGAAAAACACACCACATGGGACCAGCAGGTGGTGTGGTGGTTAAGGCGCTGGGTGCTCCCACAGGGCTGACCATGGTTTGAGCTCTGGACCTGGTGGCTTGCTCTCTCACCTTCTCTCTCTTTCTCTGTGTGTATCTCTAGTCAAATTAAAAATGAATTAATTAATAAGTAAAATTAAATGAATAATTTAAAAAAAAAAAAAAGAAAAGAAAAACACACCACAGACGAGTAGGTTGTGTATGGTTAAGTCCCTGGATTCCCACATGGCTGACTGTGGTTAGAATCCTGAACCTGGTGGCTTGAAAATCAAGCCAGACACACATGCATGCATGCTTAAAATCCTGAGAGGAGAATGGAGAAGAAGGGAATGCAGCATGGTCATCCCCCCCAAGAGGTGATTTCTTCCTTTCCCTCTCTCGTCTCTCCGGTGAGCACATGCACCCTATGGCATAAACCTAAAAAAATAAACAACAAAAACAAAAATCACCAGGCACATGTGCATATGCCCAGAACTCCAGATAGAGGAGAGAGGGTTTCGGTGTGACTGTTCCCCTTGGAGATGCTTTCTCCCTCTCCCTCTCCCTCTCCCGTTCCTGCTCACTCGCTCGCTCGCTCTCTCTCTTTTTCTCTTTCTTTCTTCCCCCCTCCCTCTCCCTCCCTCTGGTGAGCACGTGTACTCTCTGCAAAAAAGTTTTTTTATGCCGTGTTTGAACTCTCTCCTCCCAGCCCCATATGTTATGACTCCTGGGATGAAATTGTCGTATACTGCCTTTCGTTTCTAGTTTTTTTGGTTTTGGTTTTGGTTTTTTGGGGGGATTTTTTTTAGCAATTTATTTAGGACCAGCATGTGGCATGGTTTGAGGGCACTGGATTCTTTTTTAAAAAGAATCAGTATTGTAATTCTAACAAATATTATTCAGTAATAAAGGTAATAGTAAAAAGAATTATTCATTTAATTTTATTTATTATTGTTATCTTTTCATTTGACCAGAGAGAGAAAGAGATGGAAGGTGAGAAAGTAAGCTGCCAGGTCCAGGCCTTGAACCACGGTCAGCCATGTGGGATTCCAGCACCTTAACCACCATGCCACTTGTTGGCCCCAGTATGTCTCTTTCTAAATTGGCCTGACATGTTGACTCCTGGGCAGGGCAAGGATACAAAGTCTCTGAACGTGATTTGTGGTAGTTGTATGGTGTATGTATGTGTTTTTTTCAGTTTTGTTACAGGACTTGGGCACTTACCAGAGAGAAGACACCCGGGAAGGTGGGGAAGGGAAACAGTGGAGATGGCCACACTGCAGTCCCTTTCCACTCTTCTCTCGGGATTTTGGGCATACACACATGAATACTCAGTATGTTTTTCAAGCCTCTGGCTCCTGGACTCAGACTACTCGCTCAGCATGTGGGATCTAGCCGCTACAACCTCTATGTCACCTGCTGGCCTTGGTTTTGTTTTTTTCCCAAGTAAAACATTGCTTGACCTCTGTCGGTGTTTCTTTCGAGTGGGGAGTCTGCTGCGGAGGCCGGAGTTCTGGAGCATTAGATGACACTCCATCTCTCTCTGCCTTGGAACAGGTGTTCAGATCTATGACCGGACAACTGTGCTTCATGTAATGGTCAAACAAGGTCAAGTTACCGGTGTGGAGACAGATAAAGGGCAGATCGAATGCCAGTACTTCGTGAACTGTGCTGGTCAGGTAGGTTAGCAAGAACTCTGGGCTGCTGGTTTTCTTTTTAAACTTTTTTCTCCAGGATTTTTTGGTGTAGAAACATAAAATGTAACATTGTGACTGAGTAAACAGACATCAGGGGCTACACCTCTTCTTGTTTGAACTGGAAAACTTTAGAATTCTTGTATTCTAAACCAGAGATTTACATTTACTCCTCAAATAGAAACACCTGTGACCTTTTCCTTCCTCCAGATGGGGCTGACTGGTGCAGTCTTGGTCAGGAAGACCAGCCAAGAATCGGACGATGACGTGAATTTGGTGTTAGATGTTTCTGTGGGGCTGCGTTTCATCCCACAGCCTCGCAGACACAATATTAGATTCCGTTTCTAGAACACTAAGTTGCTTCTCCTTTAAGACAGATTGGTCCCTTGCCTTCCACCCTACGTTCTCCAGATGACTTAGGAACTACTCTGCTATGTCAAGTTCATTCAACACTGGGTATTTGGGGTTAGTCGTTGAGGCCAGGCATTTTAGTGAAAGGGCCTCTTAGTGAAAGGTTCCCATGAGCTCCTCGTCTGGTTGGTAAATCTTTCTTCCTTTGATCTAAAGGTAATTTTTATGGTTTAAAAAGCGAAGTGTTGCTCCCCACCCAAACACCTGAACTGAAGCAGGCGGAAACTCGGCCTCCCGCACCGACACTGTAACAAGAGCACACAGAAGCCACTTGAAACTCCACTCTTTCAAGAGGCTGAACTTGCTCATTTGTATTTCTGTTCCTCTTCCCACCCACAAATAAATCTGTCCATTTGTAGTGGGCATACGAGCTGGGTCTGTCCAACGAGGAGCCGGTTAGTATCCCGTTACATGCCTGCGAACACTTCTACCTTCTGACTCGCCCCTTGGAGACCCCTCTGCAGAGCGACACACCAAGTGAGGACTTGTACTTGTTTTTTTTTCATCTTGTTTCCTTGCCAGTATCCTGTCCTCAGAAGAGGAAGACTTCCCACTAAGGACAGACTGTGCCTGAAAGAGTCTTGTCTTTTCTGGAGTATGTTACAGGGAGGTGCTCCCAGTTCTGACTTTTCTTTAATAACCCTTTATGAAAGGATGGCCACAACGGGGCATTCTGCTAATCATTTTTTTGTTTTTGTATTTTGCAAGCTAATTTTAGTCCCAAACAGAGGTCATTGGGCATATTTGGAATGTAACCTTGAGTTTTAACCTGACTGATGTAACTGTCAAAATGCCTGAGGTAAACTCTATTCTTAGGTGGTTCAGTAGCTCCAAGCACTGTAGGGGAGAGTTTGACTATCATTTTGAAGGTCTTAATGCCCAGAAGGTCTTAATGCTCTGCAGTCCTCCTTCCTGTTAGACTTTCGCTTGGCACTGTGACAGTTACGTAGTTTGGTTGTGAGGACTAGTCAGAGCTGCAGGTAACTGATAAGGTTAGGAATTATCAGAAACAGTCTCTACTGTCAGTCTGAGTGGGAGGATCCTTCCCCATGACCTCAAGGTATTTTAAAGCTAATGAATGCCTTTGTTCACTGGATGTTACATATTTTGTTACTAAAGCTCTTAATGGGTGTTTTTGTTTTCTTTTTCTATTTAGAAAGCTGGCTTTCCTCTGAACACTTACTTTCTTCTGTTCTCCACTCCCTTATCGTTTCTGTTCTCAGCTATTGTGGATGCTGATGGAAGAGTTTACATTCGGAACTGGCAGGGCGGCATCTTATCTGGGGGCTTTGAGAAGAACCCAAAACCGATTTTCACTGAGGGCAAGAACCAGCTAGAAATTCAGAATCTACAGGAAGACTGGGATCACTTTGGTGTGTGAATTGGACTTTAATGCTAATGCTTTATATTTGTCTATGATGTTCTGTTTATCAGAGCTTTTTGAGAATGATAACAGCCTTGTGATGTTCAGTCATGGTTACGAGGGACAGTCTACAGAGTTTGCCTGGTCGCAGTTACAGGCCACAAGTTTTCTGTGACAAAAATCTTGGTAAACTGACTTTTAGCTTATTATTTACTCACCTAAAATCACTGTGGAAATTTAAGACTAGGAGGAGACCTTCTTTTCCTAGGACTTCGTATAAAATTGAAGTTTTTAGAAAGCAGAATTGTTCTATTAACATGGTCTTTCATTCAATTTTTAGATCATTTTATTTACTGGACAATTAATAGTTACTTGTACATGGTTCCAAATTCAAAAGATTAAAAAATGGAGGAGTCTCTCTTCTAGTCTGTTCTATTACTAATAACAGAAAATACTTGAGTCTGAATAATTTAAGAGAATAGAGTCTTACTAAACTCAGGATTTAGAGGTCCAGGGTCCCAGGACCACCTCTAGTCAGTCTTCTGGCTACACCCCGCGTGGGAGGACAGGAGAGCACGCATCTCTGTCCATGTGTCTGTCTCCTTCCCTTGCCTCATAGACCCACCAGGCTTCAATCATGGGGCCATCCTAGTGATCTTCATCCCAATCTTCTCCCAAGGGCCCCCTCCCTTCAGCACTATGGTCAGATTAAGTTTGTTTGTTTGTTTTTTTAAATAATTATTTATTTAATTTTATTATTCATTCATTCATTTTAATTTGACCAGAGGGAGACACAGAGAGAGAGGGAGACAGGGAAAGTGAGAAACACCAGATCTGGGACTCAAACCATGGCCAGCCATGTGGGAGGATCCAGCGTCTTAATCACCACGCCACCTGTTGGTCCCCCAGATTAAGTTTTCACCCACTTAATCTCATGATCTCTGGGGATCATCCAAAACATAGCAGTCTGTAATGAAGAATTGCTCTCCTACCCTTGATTGACTTCTTTTTTTTTTTTTTTCTGAGAGAGAGAGATATTTTTGCTATAGGGTACATGCACTTGCCAGAGACAGACAAAAAGTGAGAAATCACCCCCTAGGGGGATGGGCATGCATGCCCATCACACTCCCAGTGTGAGGTTCAAGCCACTGAGTTCAGGACTTGAACTGTGGTTGACTATGTGCGAATCCAGCAGCATAACCATTATCCCATCTCCTGGTCCCTGGACTTTCTTTTTTTTAATAGACTCATTATGGGAACTTTCAGACTTCTAGCTGGGTAGAATTGCATGGTGTGCCCCTACCCGACACACCCACCACCTGCTCCAGTCCAGTTCCGTCTGTCCCAGTGGGTTATGCCCAGATGGTAAATTTACTTTGAAGTGGGTGAGGCTCTGTGTTGTGTAGCTATTCCAACACAGGAAAATGTGGCCCCTCGTTGACAATTCTTTGGGTGCCATTTAAGAACTTTTTCAGGCATGCTGTGACCACTTTGAGATTATCTGTGGCTACATCATTACTTGCTGTTCTGTAGCGCCTATCCTTTGTAAAGAGTGTCTGTTTTCTCAGTCTTTATGCCAAGCAATTTATCTTTGTAACCTGTCATTTTACTAAGCTTTCTGCTTTCTAATGGCCCAGTTGGCTCTTTATAGAAAAATCTTTCCCAAGAGGTCTTTTGAAAGGAGAGAGTAAAAAAGTATAAAAAGTTAAACTGTTCTAATTCCCTAGAGGTGAGGACTCCATTGGTTTTTCGTTTTGTTTTGTTTTTTACTCAGAGCCCCTACTGAGTTCCCTCCTGCGTAGAATGCCAGAGTTGGAGACTTTGGAGATCATGAAGTTGGTGAACTGCCCCGAGACCTTCACTCCAGACATGCGGTGCATCATGGGCGAGTCTCCGGTGGTTCAGGGCTACTTCGTCCTGGCAGGGATGAACTCTGCTGGCCTCTCGTTTGGTGGAGGAGCCGGAAAGTAAGTCTGTCTCACTGAGTTGGCTGTCAACACAGGTCAGCTTTCTGTGCCTGATCGCTCTAGAATTATCTGACAGTAATGTTATATAGTAAATATAAATGTTAATAATGATGATGATGAAGAGACATGCAACTTAAGAATAATCCCCTTTGGGGCCAGCAGGTGGCATGATGGTTAAGGCACTGGCATCCCACATAGCTGACTGTGGTTCAAGTCCTGGACCTGGCAGCTTACTCTCTTTCTCTCTCTTACCCAGTGAGTGCCCATGCTCTAGAGCAAATTTGAAAAATATTAATAATTGGGGCCAATCGGTAGCATAGTGTTTAAGGCTGTGGACTCCCATCTGGCCAATCACAGTTCAAGTCCCAGACCTGGAGGCTTCAAACTCATGCCAGGCATATGTGTGATAGTGTCCAAAGACTCAGGAAGGGAATAGAAGAAAAGGGATTGCCCCAGAGAGTGATTTCTCACTTCCTCTCTCCCTGTCTCTGTTTCTCTTTCTCTCTGGCAAGAACATATGCCTATGGCAAAAACCTTGAAAGATAAATACAATTAAATAGATTTTTTTAAAAATAAGAGTAATCCAGGACCAGCAGATGCTGTATTGATTACATCATTGGACTCCCACATAGTCAACTGCAGTTCGAGTCCCAGACCCAGTGACTTGGAACTTACATTGCATTCATGTCCGTACATGCCCAAAATCCTGAGAGGAGAATGGAAGGGAAGGGATTGCGGCATGGTCATCTCTCCTGGGGAGTTATTTTTCATTTTCTGTCTTTCCAGCAAGCATACGCCCCCTATAGTCAAAACAAAACAAAAACAAAGAAAGCCTCATAAAATAAAAAAGTGACAAATGGACAGGTGCTGTGTTCCTACTTACGTGAAGTAGGCAGAGCAGTCAGGTTAGTGAGGCACAGAAAATACAGTGGCGGTTTTCAGGGGAAGATTTTCTAGTCTTGTGAAACTGAGAGTCTTCGAGATAATGGTTGTGATGGTTACAGAATAATGTACTTAATGCCACTGAACAGTACATTTAAAAATACTTAAGATTAAGCAGGTGGCATGGTGGCTAAGTTGCTGGGATCCCACATGGCTTACTGCAGTTAGAGTCCTGGACCTGGCTGCAGCTTTCAGTCTCACTTTCGCGCTCTTTGTGATGAGCACTTGTGCCTTATAGCAAATTTAAAAATAATAATAAATAAGATTAAGTAATTATTTTTAAAATGGTTATGATACATTTCATATACATTTTACCATAATTAATAATATTTTTTAATTGGGACCAGCAGTTGGCCTAACGGCTATGTTGCTGGACTCTCGTGTGGTCAACTGTGGTTTGTGTCCCGGACTCGGTGGCTTAAATTCATGCTGGGTGCATGTGTGTGTGTGCCCAGGATCCTCAGAGGAAAATGGAGAAGGGATTGCGGCATGGCCATCACCCCTAGGGGGTGATTTCTCGCTTTCTGTCTCTCTGTCTCTCTCTGTCTTTCAGGCGAGAGTGCACGTACCCTATAGCAAAAACCTCTCCAAAAAAATTTTTTTTTGTTTTAATTAATGAGGCCAGTTTTCTTGAGTGACTTATAGAATGCTCCAGAAGCATTTACAGAAGAGTTACCAAAACTATTTGGAGGAGATGTAGTCAGATACCTGTATTACCTCCTGAGGTAGAAAAAATCCATTAGATAAATAAAATAGGATCCACTTGTATATATATTTTAGTCTTACTTTTCATAGAGTGGCTTATATTTCAAACCCTTTCTAGAGAATCGTCTCAGTAGAGCTAAAATCCTCATAGAGGCCTTAGGAGAGCAATACAGGGATCTGAGAAAGTTAAGGAAATTCCCCAGAAATGCTCATCTGGCCTGCGAACATACGGGCTCTTTTCTGTTGGTTCTTGATTTGTGGATTATTGCCTTTATCCCCTTGAGTACCACGTCTGATCATCCCAACAACTCCCTTCTCCCTATCTCAACAGGTTCCTTGCTGAGTGGATGGTATATGGTTATCCTTCAGAGAACATCTGGGAGTTGGATTTGAAACGTTTTGGAGCCCTCCAGAGCAGTCGTACCTTTCTGCGCCATCGGGTCATGGAAGTCATGCGTAAGTAAAGCCTTAACCTGGTTGTACCTCCTGACAGGCGTCTTTCCAGTGGCCTGTTTTATCATTCAAGGGACAGATTTTCTCCTCAGCTCTTTAATAGTCATTGCTTTGAATTGAGCATCTGGTGTTTGACAGTTTGGGCCCTGAGTACGGGCCTTTTATGACACGTGTGATATTTCAGAACATTTTATTTCATGCACATATTTTACCTTGTTTACTTCTGGGAACAAAGTAGAAGAGAATTATAGGTGGTATACTTACAGCAGCGTCCTGTGAGTTACTTGCAACGCCTCCTTTCCAGTTTGTCTTCAAAGCTTATGTCAAAGTCTATGCTCTCTTGTTCTCACTTAGATTCTTTTTTTTTTTTTTTAATAGTTTGCTATAGGGCACATGTGTTTGCTGGAGAGAGACTGAGAGACAGAGAGAAAGTGAGAAATCACCCCCCCCGCCATAGGGGGTAATCTCTTCTCCATCGTCCTCATGATTTTGAGCATGCATGCATACCCACCTGGTATATTTTTCAAACCTGGATCTGGAACTCACTACTCAGTTGGCCATGTAGGATCCTGCCACCTTAACCTTTGCACCACCTACTGGCCCCTCCAACTTAGTTTTCTCTCTGGTTCCCAGACAGAAAGTCTGCCATGTTATTCTCAAAGCTTCTGGCTTCTCTGAGTGACTTAAATCATTAATTCATCATAAGTTGGCAGGTCCCCACATGGCCGACCATGGTTCAAGTCCTGGACCAGGTGGCTTGCTTTCTTACTCCTCTTGCCCCCATCTCTCTCGGATCAAAATGGAAAATAATAATAATGTTAAATGAAATAATTTCTTTTTTAAAAACCCATAACCATCACACCACCTGCTGGCCCCAATAAAATAATTCTTAAAAAAAAAAAAATCCATCATAGGCTAGCATGGTAGGAAACCACTTCCCATGTAAATGCAAAATAATCATTCTGGCTCTCATTCTCCTTTTTCTCAGCTCCCTCCAACTTTGCAGGATTGGCCTCTTCATTTTAATTTGTTATTCTACCTCATCTCTAATATATTTTACAGTAAGTCCTTTAAGACAGCCTTCTTTTTTCAAGTTTTATGATAGAGTGCATGTACTTGCTGGAGAGAGACAGAGCAAGAGAGAGAGTGAGAAAGCGCCCTCTAGGGGAGTTGGCCATGCTGCAATCCCTTCTCCATCCTTTCAGGATGTCAGGCATGCATGCACTCATGTACTCCTTGGTCTGGAGCTTGAACCACACAGTCCGTCATGTGGAATCCATCTGCCTTAACCTCTAGGCATTGAACCAAATCCTGTGGGTTCCAACAGGCTGTCATTTCATTGTTTATTACCAATGAGCTATTCTCAAGCTTTGCCAAATGACATCGAAATATTCAGGACCTGGGAGCAGGTGGCATGAAAGTTAAGGCAGCTGGATCCCACATGGCCAACTACACGATTCGAGTCTCGGACTAAGCAACTTAAAATCATGATGGGCGTGTGGGTATGTATGCCCAAAATCCTGAGAGGAGAATGAAAGAGAAGGGATAGCATGGCCATCTCCCTTCGAGAGTGATTTCTCAATTTCCCTTGATCTTTATCTCTCTCTGTCTCCCTCCAGCAAGTGTACACACCCTATAGCAAACTAAAATTTAAAAAAAAAAAAAAACATGGGCCCAGCAGATGGTATAATGGTTACGTTGCTGGCCTCCCACATAGTCGGCTGTGATTGAAGTCCTGGACCCAGTGGCTTAAAATTCACGCTGGGCATGTGTGTGTGCGTGCCCAAGATCCTGAGAGGAGAATGAAGGAGAAGGGATTGTGGCGTGGCCATCCCCCCTGGGGGGTGATTTCTTGCTTTCTGTCTAAGGTGCTTTCTCTCTCCAGCAGGTACATGTACCCTGTAGCAAAAATTTCTCTCTAAAAAATAATGATAGGGGCCAGCAAGTGGCATGGTGATTAAAGGTGCTGGACTCCCACGTGTCCGGCCGCAGTGAGTCCTGCACCTGGCATCTTGCTTCCTCACTCCCCTCCTTTTTCTCACTCTGTCCTCTCCAGCCAAATTAAAATAAATAAAAGTTAAAGTAATTATTTAAAAAGTAATAAAAACAAAAATTCGAGGCTCACTTATGCTCAGGACTAAGTTTCTACATTGGCTGTGACCACCATCCCCAGTTACAAATGAACTGTTTGTTGGTTAGCAACTGGATAGCGTTCACAGTGAGGCCTTTGAACTGCTGTAACCAAGTGCTTACTTTTGGCCTGCAGCAGAGAACAGCAGTCTGTGAGAGAGGAAGGGCCTCCAGCAGTACGTTGAACTACTCCAGTGCTTTCATCTTATCAAGTACATGGTTAAAACGTCAAGGATTGCAAGTTCAGATTTCCCCACCCATAGTTACTTAACAGCCTGTGCAAATGATAACTGAGCTTGAGCTTCTCCTTGGTGATGCAGCACTACTGGTGGCCTTCTCTGATTCTCGTAAAATGGTAACTGCAGGCATGATCGAAAATGGGGACGTGGCAATAGAAGCTAAAGTCCCAGAGCAGGCTGACCAGTTGTCACAACTCAAAGAATTCATGTTCTTCTCAGCCTCCCTCCCATTCTCCCACCCTAATAGACTTTTCATCTGTATATGAGATCAAGTCTCGTCTTTGAAAGAGATAGAGATCACACTCTT